GGGCGAAACGACCCCCCCCCAACGGGGCCCAATCTTGAGCAGGGACCGATCGCCCTGGCAGTCCTACTGGCCTACCACGCAAAATGTTACTAGGACACAAGCCTCTTCAGGTAGCAGAGACAGTGGCATGTATATCCCAGAGCACAAATGTCCTGAAACAAGACTGCCTCGGCCACGAATGCCTCACACGATTTTTAAAGATGCCGGATGCATGGATCACCAAAAGCTATGTACGTCGAGCTGTCTGGTGGCCCTGTCGGCAAACCAGGACGCCGAGCCACTCCTGCACAAGCTTCTGGAGACCTCAACGCCCCGTGTTCTTTGTCCCCCGTGGCCGACTATTTCAGATGTTTCTCCCGATGATCGGGGGCGGCCAAGGGGCGCAAGGCTGAGGGCACCTCGGACCAGGAACACTTCCAGCAGCACCCAGAACTTGAGTAGGGGATCGACTACAGAATTGACTTACCCCAAGATTGACTTTCTCGCCTGGCCCATGACGAATGCGCAGAAGGCGACGCAGACCTGCGAACATTCGGTGCGTCTTTCATGGACTCGACGAGGAAGCCAATCGGGGGGCAAATCGATTATGTAGTCGATCTCCTTCAAAAAAAATGTACACCCTGCGAAATGCTTTAGAAATCATGGGTTAAGAAATTCATCGTCTCAGATCTGGAATAAAAAAAAACCCAACGTTTCTATCAAAATCTTAGGAATTAAATTGAAACAGGAAGAACAATCGAGACTCTGGCCGAAAACTTAAGTTTTCTTAAGCATCGCCTAAGGTGTAGTCGATCTCGGGGCGCAGCTCGTGGCAAAGGGGCACGTGCGCGGCCCGGCGGGGAGGCGGGGCCGGGGACGCACTGGAAGGAGAGGAGGCGCCGTGAGGACTCGGGGAGATGGCATGGCCCCCGCCATGATGTCCCCCCCCCCCTATGAAGGGGCCCTGGGACACACAAATAAATACACACAAATAAAAGGATTCCCCATAGTTTCCCATCTTTTCTGGGCTTCTGTCTTCCCCCCCACTTCCCATATTTTCCCTTATTTTCCTGGGAGTCGACGATTAATTGTGTCTGTGTGTTTTTTCCCCTCCTGACCCTAGTCTTACAGTCAAGAACCCGAATAAGGACGCGCGGTAAGGACGCAAGACCCCTAGAAGCCGAAGTTGGGATTTCTGGGGCGGCGGACGACGAAAACGTCAAGGACGCAAGAGCAAGGAAGAGCAAGGACGCAAGGGGACCCTGAGCAAAGTCGCGCGTCCTTATTAGGGTTTCTGATTGTAGGTCGGGCACGTCCCCATGCAGGCGGATTTTGGACGAAGAAGATGCTCCACAAATGCTCAAACAAAATTCAAAAATTGACAAAAAACAATAGTCCCCAAACTATTTCTTTGCTGTTTTTGGATACTCCTCCCGCAGAGGGACAGGCCCGACTTAACCCCAGTCGTCACCCCCCCTCTGCCGCCCCTGGGACGAGGGCGAAGACGTCCAGGGGCCTCCGGAGCCCCGCGGGGAGTCGGGGCTCCCAGCCCTGCTTCCCCCCCCCCTGCCTCGATCCGTGGGCGGTGACAGCTGGCGCCCCCGCGCGCTCCCCGACAGGATGGAGCAGGCCAAAACGGCGGCTCTCACAAGCCAGGGCAGCAAGGCGCAAACACGCCAACGAAGAGGGGGGAGGCGGAGGAGGAGGAGGAGGAGGAGGAGGAGGAAGAAGACGCCCATCCTCGGAATCAAGGAAGTTGCAGTCTCCTCCTCCTCCTCCTCCTCCTCCTCCTCCTCCTCCTCCTCCTCCTCCTCCTCCTCCTCCTCCTCCTCCCCTAGAAAATCCTTTTTTTCCGTCGGCGCGTGCGGAGCCGCACTCGCGCTGGGCCAGCTGCCCGCCCTGTCGGGGGGCCGCGGGGGCGCGAGCGCGGTGGACATGCTGTGGCTTCGCGGCGCGCGGCAGGCCCCCCCCCCTCCTCTCTCCAGCTGTCCCCCCCCTCCTCTCTCCAGCTGCCCCCCCCTCCTCCTCTCTCCAGCTGCCCCTCCCCCCCTCCTCTCTCCAGCTGCTCCTCTCTTCCCCATAGGAATCAGTTCTGATGTGCGGCGCATTGGGTCTATGCTTCGGTCGAGCTACAGCATGGATGCTGCGGAGCGAATGAGGGACAATGGCGGCAGTGAGTGGGCGGCGGGAGGGAGAAGGCAGGCGGGACGCGGATGGCCTGAGCGCCCTCGGAGAGTGAAGCACTTCGGGCCTGTTCCAGAACAGGCTCAAGTCCTCCCCGTCTCGAAAACAGACGAGCCCACGCCACGCATACACACACACACACTCACACACACACACACACACGCGCACACACGCACACGCACACACACACACACACACACACACACACATACACACACACACACACACACGCACCTTCCTCCCCCCCTGGACCTGGAGGCAGATACAGCCGCGTCGACGAAGGACCACACCAACAAACACGCGCGCACACACACACACACACACGCACACGCATTCACACACACACACACACACACACACACACACACACACGCACACGCACACGCACACGCACACGCACACGCACAGACACACACACACACACACACACACTCGTTCTCTCTCTCTCTCTCTCTCTCTCTCAAGAACGCGCACACACAAAAAATCGGCGTTCCGTGTTCTTCTGGGCGGCGCGCTTTGGCCGCCAGCGAAGAAGCACCAGCACGCATACGCAGAGTATCCACTCTGAGATTTTGGCAGGCCAGCACCAGGCACGTTCGGGCATCAATTTTATGATTGCGAGGCCCTTTGGAGCGATAATAATGATCCAGGCGCTGCGCCTAGTTGGCCCGAGCATTGCACGGAGCATCGTAAGTGGCTGAGGGACCACAAGGCGCTCGGAATTCCACCTGGTTTCGATTCGGTCGAGCTTGTGTACGGTCTTCCGCTTCGCTCGATCGTGATCGAGCCTGTCCCTCAGCGCTATATGTGAGTTGTTTGAGTGGGGCGCCACGCACATCGTTGGAAATACCGACTTTGCACGGATGGGTCGGGCCTCCACAGTAGTTTCCCAGAGCTGGCGCGCTGCGACTTGGCAGTAGTAGACATGTCGCCTGGCGGGTGGCCAATTCGAGCGCGCTGCGGACCGCTGGCGGGCAGATGCCAAACCGTGCCGCGCGCAGAAAGAGAAGCGATGCTGCACGTGCTACGAGTTGCTCCATGTGGCCCCGTCGCCGTGTCGGATCACCTGCCGGCAGTGCGGAAGGGAACGCATGGAGCCCACTGCCTGCGGCAGGGTCCGGCAGACCCCCTGCGGTCTGGCGGGCCACTTTCGAATTCTACGAGGGCAGAAACGAGAGGCCCAATTTTCCAGGCGACCCCTGCTCACGGAAGTGTGGACAAGGTCCTCGAGGACCTGGGTAGCCTCGGAGCCGAAGGGCCGCGGAGGGTTCTCGATGTTCTGGGGAAACACCTGGGCAGACTTTCCTGCGCGGATGGGGGCTGCAGAACACGAATTGTTGGAAGTCGCTACTTCCCACACTCGCGCTCGGCTCCAAGATGTAGGCAAGACAATCGACTTTGTAAGCCGTGCTGCGCAGAGAGCTGCTGCTAGTGCGCCTGAAGCCTTAGTCCGCGCAAAGCCGCGGGAGGAGGCCCCTCCCCAGCTGGCCCTGCTTGCTCACACCTTGGAGGCGGTGGAGTCGGAGAGCGGGGGGGGGGAGTGAGATGTGTGCCTGGTGCCACTGCCCAGCGCGCGCGAAGGCGAGCCGTGCGAAGCTGGAGCAGCCTCCCGCCCCTTGCCAGCCCACGCCGCCGCCTTTGTTTTGTGCCCGGCAGCGGTGGCGGCCTGGCGCCGAGGCGGCCCGCGGCCGAGGTGCAGGGGCGCGAGGCAGGCCGGGCACCCGTGCCCTGCGAGCTGGCGGGCAGAGGCCGACGGAGGCGCGGCCGCGACGGGGCCCCCCCGCCCGCGCTCGAGCACCTCGGACGCGCGGCGCGGAGGCCGCCGACGCCCGCCCCGCGTGCCGAAAGTGCGGAGCGCGAGCGTCGACCGAAGCAACCGCACTGCAGGGCGCTGCCGCGGCCCTGCACGGGCAGGGCCACCGCGGGGCCGGCGTGGCTCCGCGGCTCCGTGTTGGCCGGACGCGAGCCGCGCTCCTCATAGAGGCCAGGCGCCGTCCCGCGGGGCGGGGTGGCGCCCAGAGTCCGCGGCGAGGGTGGCTCGCGCTTCCTCCGCAGGTCTCTGCGGTGCGGCTCTCCCTCCTCGGGGGCCCGCAGCCACCTGCCCTCCATACGGGTCAGAGCTCTGCGCCTTGCGAGCCTGGCCCGCCCGCGCTGCTTCCTTAGCGCGAGGCGCCTGTCAGCCAGCCCGCTGTGCGCAGGCCTCCATACTGCGGTTGGTGTCTGCCCTGCGGATGCTAGACCTTGATTGCCCCTTGCCCCCTCCTCCTCCTCCTCCTCCTCCTCCTCCTCCTCCTCCTCCTCCCCCTCCTCCTCCTCCTCCTCCTCCTCCTTTTCCTCCTCCTTCTCCTCCTCCTTCTCCTCCTCCTCCCCCCCTCCTAGGGGGAAACGTTTGAGGGGGGGGGGCCGGCTCTCGAGGGGAGACACCGAACTGGAATCTCCGATACGTCGCCGGTCGAGCGGCGATCGGCCCCTGATAGCGAATCCGCACGTCCCTCGGCGGGGTGGGCTTCCGGGCCCCGATCGGCGACCAATCGGCGATCGGGGGTCGAGCCACCCCCCTCTGAGCCTATCCCCGTCACCAGACGTTTTCGGGAGTCCCGGGCGGCCGTCTGGGACGATCCGGGCACCCACGTAACGCTCTCGGCAAGGCTCAGCCACTGGAAGGCATCCTAAAGGAGGGAAGGCCGCCAAGAACCGACAAGAAGAACCGAACACCCAGAACATCGAAACTTCACCCCCCCTGAGCCCATCCACCCCCTGGCGTTACCCCTGGCGAAAGCTCCAGGCGCCCCTCCGAGCAGTGCCCAAGGCGGACGCGCGCACGAACGCGCGCGCTCCTTGCGCGGCCGCCGTGGACTGCATCAGGGAGGACTGCATCCTCTCGACCTCCGGGGTGGCAGGGATGGCATCCTCGTCGCTGCCGTCGTCACAGCCGTCGCCGCCGCCGCCGTCGTCGGGGAAGGGCAGGGGAAGAGCGTCCTCGTCGTCCTCGCCGTCGTCGCCGCCGTGGGCATCGTCGCCGTCGTCGTCCTTGTCGTCGTCGTGGTCGTGGTAATGGTCGTCGTACCGGTCGTAGGAAAAAGACAGGTCGGGTACCATTCGCAGGTCGTGCATTGGGTCTCGTCGTCGGTCGTTTTCGTGTCGTGTCGTGTTCGTGGTCGTCGTCGTCCTCCTCCTACTCCTCCTCCTCCTCCTCCTCCTCCTCCTCCTCCTCCTCCTCCATCCTCCTCCTCCTCCTCCTCCTCCTCCTCATCCGCCTCCTCCTCCTCCTCCCTCCTCCTCTCCTCCTCCTCCTCCTCCTCCTCCTCCTCCTCCTCCTCCTCCTCCATTCCTTCTCCCTATAGATAACTCCTCCCTGTCGCACCCCGAGGCCAGTTTTAAGGGCGGGCCGGGCGTTTCGCCTGAGCGTTCCTCACCTCTTGTGACTCTGAAGCTTAAAAAGTGGCAACAGTTTCACACATGGAGGGCGGGTGGTTTTCAAAATGTGGTGCTCGCCTTAGCCCCGCGCACATTCGCTTTAAAACATTGCCAGAGCTTCACGGATTGAGGGCGGTTCCTTTTCAAAATGTGGCTCTCGCCTTAGCGCCGCGCCCATTCGATTTGAAATGTTGCAAGAGCTTCACTGATTGAGGACGGGTTGTTTTCAAAATGTGGATCTCGCCTCAGCGCCGCGCAGAGTCGCTTTAAAAATTCGCAAGAGTTTCAATGATTGAGGGCGGGTCGTTTTCAAAATGTTGATCTCGCCTTTGCGCCTCGCACATTCGTTTTAAACAGTTGCAAATGCTTCACGAATTGAGGGCGGGTGGTTTGGAAAATGTGGCTCTCGCCGTCGCGCCGCGCACATTCGTCTTAAACATTTGCAAATGCTTCACGGATTGAAGACGGGTGGTTTTCAAAATGTGGCTCTCGTCTTAGCGCCGCGCACATTCGTTTTGGAAACTGCAAGAGCTTCACGGATTGAGGGCGGTTCCTTTTCAAAATGTGGCTCTCGCCTGAGCGCCGCGCACATTCGTTCTCAACAGTTGCAAGAGTTTCACGGCTTCCCATGATCAACGTACCAGAAATGATGTTGTGGAAGGATTCTGGATTACGCGGGTGCAACAGTTATGTCGCGATGTTGAAGATGACGCTCTGGCACGATTCAGAATCGTCAAGACGCAGCAGTCAGATATGTGGCGTTGGAACCCCGAGAACCATGCTTTGGCATGCTTCAGGATCTTCAAACCGTTTTCTTCCAACGAGGCAGTTCCCTCAATGGAAATGAACCGTTGTGGGGGCCTCTGAAGAGGGAGCTTGGAGGGAGGGTGAATTCCGACATCGTTGATGACCCTTGGATTTACGCTGGTCCTCCTCATCCTCGTCCTCCTCCTCCTCCTCCTCCTCCTCCTCCTCCTCCTCCCCTCCTCCTCCGCCTCCCCGCTCTCTCCTTCCTCCCTCCTCCTCCTCCCTCCTCCTCCTCACTCCTCCTCCTCCTCCTCCTCCACGCGCCGGGGGGGAGGGGGCACGAGGCTTCGGCGGCGGCGCCGCCGCCGCGGCCCACTGGCCTTCGCCGACATCGCAGCCCTCTGCTCGGCCAGGCACCTCGGCGCCGCAGCGACACAGGGCGCGGGCGCGCGCGCGGGCGGCGGAGGGAGGGGAAGGAGAGGAGGAGGAGGAGGAGGAGGAGGAGGAGGAGGAGGAGGGAGGAGGGAAGAGGAGGAGAGGAGAGGAGGAGGAGGAGGAGGGAGGAGGGAATAGGAGAGGAGGAGGAGGAGGAAAGGGGGAGGGGAGGAAAAGGAGGAGGATGATCATCGTTTAACCGATCCCCATCACCACCAGCGTAGGCTGGGCCCCACTGGCCGATTTACTCCTCTGATGGTGATATAGGCTGCTCTCTTCGGGTTTCGAAGGGCATATCCCCAACTGAGGTGGTGAGACGGTCGGGCTCGAGATGTGGATGGGGTTGGGGATAGGGATCGGTCAAACCATACTGAGAGGAGGAGGAGGAGGAGGAGGAGGAGGAGGAGGAAGAGGAGGAGGAGGAGGAGGAAGAGGAGAAGGAGGAGGAAAAGGAAGAGGAAGAGGAGGAGGAGGTAAGCGCCTCGGACGCCGGGGGCAACAGCAGCCGGGCGCCGCCAGATGCGGCCCAGACGTGTCTCCAGGATTCCCAGGGAGGCTCAGGTGACCTCCCTTCGGCGGCAAGCAGGGGGGTGGAAGTGAGAGGGGAAAGGCATTCTCAGAAGGCGGCGGGGCTTCTCAGCAGCCCTCGCGCCTTCTGAGAAGTCGTCTGTGTCTACGGGGGAGGCTCAGAGAACTTCTCAGAAGGCCGGGGGACTTCCGAAGCTTCTGAGAAGGCCTTCTCCTTCTCACTTCGCCCCCACCCCCTCGCTCGCCGCCGATCCAGGGCCCCCAGGATGGCGCGCAAGGCTGAGGGCACCTCGGGCCAGGAACACGTCCAGCAGCACCCAGAACTTGAGTAGGGGATCGACTACAGAATTGACTTGCGCCAAGATTATTTTCTCGCCGAGCCCATGACACATGCGTAGAAGGCGACGTAGACCTACGAACATTCGATGCGTCTTTCATGGATTCGACGAGGAAGCCAATCTGGGGGCAAATCGATTCTGCAGTCGATCTCCTATTCTCGGGAGCGGCCAAGAGGGGGGGGTCCAAGAGGGGAGGGTGCAAATCATGACCGGCGGCATGTGCGCGGCCCAGCGGGGGGGGCCAGGGACGTAATGAAGTAAGAAGAGGCGCCATGAAATCTGGGGAAATATCATGGCCCGCCCCCCTAGTCCTCACCCCCCTCTTTGCCGCCCCCGATCTTCGAAGAACAGAGAACGGGCCTGGACCTCTTCGGGATCCGGTGAGCTCGCAGACACAGCCCTCGAGATGCTCCCGGGTGGCCTCGGCGTGCCCGCGAAGCCCTCTGGGGGCGGTCTCGCGACCCGGCGCCGCTTCCAGCGGGATGTTGAGGCCGCGCTGGGCAGGGGGGCCGTTGAGGCCGGCCGGGGCCAACTCGGAACTCGGGCTGCACGTCGAGGGTCGGGGGGTCGCGCCGAAGCGCCGATGCGTCGGCGATGCATCGGCGATGTCTCGCCGATGCTCCGGCGATGCATCGTCGACGCCGGCGAGGCATCGGCGACTTCGACGTGAAGCAAATCGGGCTGCACATCGAGCCGCATCGGCGATGCATCGTCGATGCGGTGCGATCCTCCGACCCCGTCTACTCCGACCCCCTCTAGGAGGCCTAGAAACACCAAGGTTTGGGGTCCCTCAGAGGTCCCTTGGTATGGCTGGGATCGCCGCGTTCCCCTGAGGCGCCGACCGCAGCACTCCACCCTGATGCCGATCGACCGATGCTGTGGCGCGCTGACAGCGGGGGAGGCTGCTGACTGCTGGCCCTCCAAAAGAGAAGTTGCTGGAGGCATGGCGGGAGGAGATGGCGTCGTACTGCTGACACGCCAGCGGAGCCAAGGGCCGTCAGCACGTCCGAAGCGTCGAGGACCAAGCGTTTCCAGGCTGCAGGCGTGGTACGGTGCCGCCCTGCCAGTGGTGCCGACGATCTGGGCAGAACCATCGGACGGCCTGCTCACACTTCGGACGCCCGGAGCAGCGGGCTCAACACCACTGCCCGCTTCCAGAGACGGGCTCGGCGCCCAATCGTCTGCGGAACCGGAGAATCGAGGCACCAGGACTGTCACCGCGGTTCGACGCCGCCGCGTTTGGCCTCGAGGCCCACGGAGCAGAGCGCGAGCAATACGCCCCAAAGAAGACTCCCATCAGAGCGACTCTCCCTCCTCCCGCCCCCTGTCCCGTTCCAACCGTCTTCGCCCTCTCACCACGCCGCGCCTTTACGCATTCGTCCTCCTGTGTCCGACGACGACAACGGCGAACACGGCAAGGATCACCACGATGAAGTCGGCGAAGACGCCGACGGCGGCGGCAACGACGCCAAGCAGGTGGCGACGGTGACGAGCGCGTTCTATCCCTTCCCCTCATCGCGGACATCCTCCTCCGTTCTCTAGCACTCTTTGTCCACTTTCTCCGCTTCGTCCTCAACACTCTCTTCAACGTCCTCCTCAACCCTCGTCCTCCTAGCCTCCTCTTCTTCCTCTCCTCCCGCCTGCCTACTCCCTTCTGCCTCCTCGCTCCTCCCTCCCCCATCCTCCAAACTCCTCCTCCTCGTCCTCCTTCGAATGATGTTCCTCCTCCCCCTCCTCCTCCTCCTCCTCCTCCTCCTCCTCCTCCTCCAACTCCTCCTCCTCCTCCTCCTCCTCCTCCTCCTCCTTCTCCTCCTCTCTCCCTCCTCCTCCCTCCTCCTCCCTCCTCCCTGCCCGCTCCCCTCCACGACGCGATCGAAGCCGCCCGCCGCGACCGCCCGCCCAGCCGAGGCGGCGGCGACAGCAGCTGCCGCTGCGCGCCGCCGTGCCGCCGCAGGGCATCGACCTCGGCGGAGACCTGCACGACGGCGGCGGCGACGGCGGCGCGGCATCGGCGGCGCCCCGACAGCTCAATTCTGCTGTTCCCCTTCCTCCTCCTCCTCCTCCTCCTCCTCCTCCTCCTCCTCCTCCTCCTCCTCCTCCTCCTCCTCCTCATTCTCCTCCTCCTCCTCCTCCGCCTCCTGCGCCTCCTCATCCTCCTCGTCCTCCTCCTCCTGGTCCTCCACCTCATGAGTACTAGCATGATCTTTACCAACATGCTCATAAGCAGGATCATCAGCATCAGCTTCGTCTCCAGCTCCTCCTCATCATCATCCTCATCGTCACTCAGCTACTCCTCCTCCCTCCAACTCCTCCACCTCCTCCTCCTCCTCCTCCTCCTCCATGTTTCCTCCTCCTCTCCTCCTCCTCCTTGTCTTCTCCTTCCTCCTCCCCTGCCCCTCCTCATCCTCCTCCTCCTCCTCCCCTGCCCTCCTCCTCCTCCTCATTCTCCTCCTCGTCCTCCTCCTCCTACTACTCCGATCCCCCCCCCCATTCAACAGACAGTGCTTGCAAGTAGGGTTTCTTCCTTGTGTCACTCAGGAATTGGGCCGCCGAGGTTTCGCCGCGTCGCCGCCCGTGGCCGCTTCGTTGCCGCCCACTCTGGGGTCCGCCGCGGTTTCGACGAGTCGCCGCCCGTGGCCGCCTCGTGGCCATCCACCACGCTCGGGGGTCCGCCGGGGTTTCGCTGCGTCGCCGCCCGTTGCCGCCCCATTGCCGCGTCTAGCTTGCACCACACATAGCACACCACATAGCTTGCATCAGAGCCGTTGCACCACACAGCTTACACAACCTCAGTGCAATGACTTACTGTGTGGGGTCCAGGCTGGCTAAAACGTTCCTAATGAATTGATGTACCGTACTCATCGCCATCAGGTTCTTCTTCCGCCTCCCACTACGAATTCTACTACTACTACTACTACTACTACTACTACTACTACTACTACTACTACTACTACTACTACTACTACTACTACTACGACTACTACTACTACTACTACTACTACTACGACGACGACGACTACTACTACTACTACTACGACTACTACAACGGCTACGACTACTACTACTACGACCACCACCACTACTACTACGACTACTTCTACTACTACTACTATTACTACTACTACTACTGCTACTACTACTACTACTACTACTACTACTACTACTACTACTACTACTACTACTACTTATTTTACTACTTCTACTACTACTACTACTACTCATTTTTTAAACAGCGACGATTCATAGTACGACGACTACGATTACTACTACGACTACTTGTAACACTGCTACTACGAATACGGCTACAAGTACTACTACTACTACTACTACTACTACTACTACTACTACTACTACTACTACTAGTACTACTACTACTACTACTACTACTACTACTACTACTACGACGACCGCTACTACTACGACTACTACCATTACCACTACTACTACTGTGACTACAGCGACGACGGCTACTACAACTACCACTACTACTACTACGACTGCTACTACCTCGCCGACTACTATTATTTTAACACCTACCACTACCACTACACAACTACTACTACTACTACTACTGCTACTACTACTACTACTGCTACTACTACGACTACTACCACCACTACTACTACTACTACTACTACTACTACTACTACTACTACTACTACTACTACTACTACTACTACTACTACTACTACTACTATACTACTACTACTACTACTACTACTACTACTACTACTACTACTACTACTACTATTACTACTCTACTACTACTACTACTACTACTACTACTGCTACTACTACTACTACTACTACTACTACTACTACTACTACTACTACTACTACTACTACTACTACACTACTACTACTACTACTACTACTACTACTACTACTACTACTACTACTACTACTACTACTACTACTACCACTACTACTACTACTACTACTACTACTACTACTACTACTACTACTACTACTACTACTACTACTACTACTACTACTACTACTACTACTACTACTACTGCTACTACTACGAATGCTACTACTAGTACGACTACCACTAGGGCTGACCTCCTCGCGGTTGCCCAATTAATCTGGTGTAGGGAGTGCAAGGAGTGTGGTGAGGATTCTGTGCCGCGGACGCCCCGTGCGCGTTTCGTATATGTGTGCTATGTATTTCGCATGTGTTTCCTTTACGTTTCGTGCATGTGTCGTACCTGCTTCGTAAATGTTTCGTTTATGGTTCGTATATGTTTCCTATATGATTCGTATATGCTTCGTAACTCCTTCGTACATGTTTCGTATATGTGCCGTGTATGTTTCGTATATGGTTCGTATATGGTTTTGGCATTTGGTTCATATATGTTTCGTAAATGTTTCGCATATGCGTCGTATATATGTCGTATATGTTTCGTATATGTTGCGTATATGCGTCGTATCTGTGTCGAAAATGTTCCGCAAATGTTTCGTACATGTTTCGTAGATGGGTCCGCATATGTTTCGTGTCAGTTTCGTATATGCTTCGTATATGTGCCGTATATGTTTCGTATATGTTTCGTATGCACATGCACATGTGTCGTACATGGTTCGTATATGTGTCGTATATGATTCGTATATGTGTTGTATATGTTTCGGATGCGGTTCGCATGCGTTTCGCATGCGCTCCGTGTGTTTCGTATGTGTGTCGCACATGTGTCGCACATGTCTCGCATTTGTTTCGCATGCGCTTCGCCTGCGCTTTGTAAATGTGCCGCAGACGCGCCGCGCGCGAGTCGCTCATGTGTCGCATGTGTTGCGCATATGTTTCGTATTTGTGTCGCATATGTGTCGTACATGTTTCGTATATGTTTCGCATATGTGGTGCGTATGTCTCGTATACGTGTTGTTGAGTTTCGTTTATGTTTCGTGTATGTGTCGTATATGTTTCGTATATGTGTCGCATTTGCTTCGCGTATGGTTCGTATATGCGTCGTGCACTTTGCGTATATGGTTCATATATGTGTCGCATGCTTCGCATGCGTTTCGCACATGTTCGGTATATGGTTCGCATATGGTTCGTATGTGTGTCGGATATGTTTCGTACATGGTTCGTATATGTGTCGCATACGTTTCGCATGCGTTTCGCATGCGTTCCACATATGTTTCGGATACGGTCCGCATACGTCCCGCATACGCTTCGAATATGTTTCGCTTATGTTTCGTATATGTGTCGTATATGTGTCCTAAATGTTTCGTAAATGTGTCGTATACGTTTCGAATACGTTTCGTGTATGTTGCGTATATGTTCGTACATGTTTCGCACATGTGTCCTATGGGCTCCGCATGTGTGCCGCATGTGTTTCGTATAAACTACGCGTATGTTTCGCATGCGTGTTTCGCATATGTGCTGTGCATGTGCCGCGCATGTGTCGCATATGTTTCGTATATGTGTCGTATATGCTTCGCATATGCTTCGTATGTGTCCCGGATATGTTCCGTTTATGTTTCGCATGCGTTGCGTATATGTTTCGTATAGTTTCGCATGTGCTTCGTATATGTTTCGCATATGGTTCGTATATGTTTCGAATTGTTGCGCATGTGATTCGCATGCGTTTCGCATGCGTCTGGCACGCGTGTCGCGTGCGTGACGTATACGTTTCGCACATGTGTCCGATGCGGTTCGCATGCGATTCTTGCACGTTTCGTTTATGCGTCGTGCATGTTTCGCATCTGTGTCGCAGATGTTTCGCGCATGGTTTCGTATATGTTTCGTACATGGTTCGCATGCGTTTCGCGTATGTTTCGTATATGGTTCGCATATGTTCGAACATGTGTCATACATGTTTCGTATATGTGTCGATTATGTTTCGTACATGTGTCGTCAGAGTTTCGCATGTCCTTCGTGCATGTTCCGTATATGTGCCGTATATGTTCCGATAGTGTTCCGAATATGTATCGCATATGGTTTGTATATGTTTCGCATGGGTTTCGTATATGTTTCGGATGGGTTTCGTATCTGTTTCGTATACGGTTCGTATATGTTTCGTATATGTTCCGTATAATTATGCATGCGTTTCGTCAATGTTTCGCATATGTTTGGCACGCGTGTGGCACGCGTTGCGCATGCGTTCCGGGAACGATCCGGATACGGTTCGCGCACGTTTCGAAAACGTTTCGTACATGTTTCCTATATGTGTCGTATCTGTTTCGTATATGCGTCGTACATGCGTCGCATATGTTTCGTATATGTTTCGCACCTGTTTCGCTTATGTGTCGCATGCGTTTCGTGTATGTTTCGTGAATGATTCGTGCATGTTGCGTATATGTGTTGTATACATTTCGTATATGCTTCATATGTGTCTGGTAATGTTTCGAATATGTTTCGTAGGACAAGTTTAGTATATGCTTCGTGCATGTTCCGTTTATGTTTCGTTTTTGTGTCGTATATGCTTCGCATATGCGTCGTGCATGTCCCGTATATGCGTCGCAAAGGTTTCGAACATGTGCCGTGCATGTCCCGTAGATGTTTCGTATATTGCTCGTAAATGTTTCGAATATGTTTCGAATATGTGTCGTATATGTGTCGTATGTGTGTTCGTATATGTTTCGTAAATGTTACGTATCGTATATGATTCGTAAATGTTTCCTGTATGCGCCAGGTGTGCAAGGTGCGCCAGTTGCGCCAGGTGCGCCAGGTGCGCCATGTGCGCCAGGCGCGCCAGGTGCGCCAGGTGCGCCAGGTTCGCCAGGTGCGCCAAGTGCGCCAGCTGCGCCAAGTGCGCCATGTGCGCCAAGCGCGCTAGGTGCGCCAGGTGCGCCAGCTGCGCCGGACGCGCCAGGTGTGCGCCAGGTGCGCCAGAGGCGCCAGGTGAGCCAGGTGCGCCAGGTGAGCCAAGTGCGCCCAGCGCGCAAGGTGCGCCAGGTGCGCCAGGTGTGCCACGTGCGCCAGGTGCGCCAGGTGCGCCAGGTGCGCCAGGCGCGACAGGCGCGCCAGGTGCGCCAGGTGAGCCAGGTGCGCCAGGTGCGCCTGGTGCGCCACGTGTGCCAGGTGCGCCAGGTGCGCCAGGTGCGCCCGGTGCGCCAGGCACGCCAAGCGCGCCAGGTGCGCCAGGTGCGCAGGGTGCGCCTGATGTGCGAGGTGCGCCAGGTGCGCCAGGTGCGCCAGGTGTGCGCCAGGTGCGCCCAGCGCGCCAAGTGCGCAAGGTGCGCCAGGCTCGCCAGGTGCGCCAGGTGCGCCAGGCGCGCCAGGTGTGCGCCAGGTGCGCCAGGTGCGCCAGGTGTGCCAGGTGCGCCAAATGCGCCAACTGCGCCGGGCGCGCCAGGCGCGCCAGGTGCGCCAGGCGCGCCAGGTGCGCCAGGTGAGCCAGGTGCGCAAGGTGCGCCAGGTGCGCCAGGTGTGCCAGGTGCGCCAGGTGCGCCAGGTGCGCCAGGCGCGCCAGGCGCGCCAGGCGCGCCACGGAGAGATGCGCCAGGTGCGTAGGGTGCGCCAGGTGTGCCAGGTGCGCCAGGTGCGCCAGGTGCGCAAGGTGTGCGCCAGGTGCGCCCAGCGCGCCAGGAACGCCAGGCGCGCCAGGCGCGCCAGGTGCGCCAGGTGCGCCAGGCGCCACGTGCACCAGGTGCGCCAGGTGGGCCAGGTGTGCCAGGTGCGCCAGGTGCGCCAGGTGCGCCAGGCGCGCCAGGCGCGCCAGGCGCGCCAGGCGCGCCAGTGCACCAGGTGAGCCAGGTGCGCCAGGCGCGCCAGGTGCGCCAGGTGTGCCAGGCGCGCCAGGTGCGCCAGCTGTGCCAGGCGCGCCAGGCGCGCGCGCAGCGCACCAGGCGCGCCCTTGGGCAAACTGACGGAGGTCAAACCCTACCACTTCTACTGCTACTACTACTACTACTACTACTACTAACTACTACTACTACTACTACTACTACTACTACTACTACTACTACTACTACTACTACTACTACTACACTACTACTACTACTACTACTACTACTACTACTACTACTACTACTACTACTACTACTACTACTACTACTACTACTACTACTACTACTACTACTACTACTACTACTACTACTACTACTACTACTACTACTACTACTACTACTACTACTACTACTACTACTACTACTACTACTACTACTACTACTACTACTACTACTACTACTACTACTACTACTACTACTACTACTACTACTACTACTACTACGACTACGACTACGACTACGACTACGACTACGATTACTGCTACTACTGCTACTACTACTACTACTGCTGCTGCTGCTACTACTACTACTACTACTACTACTACTACTACTACTACTACTACTACTTCTACTACTACTACTATTTCTACGACTTCTGCTGCTAGTACTACGATCACGGCTAGTAGTATTGGTATACGAATAACGACAAGTCGTTGGCCCCGCAATCTTCAATCGCCCAGCATTCCATCTTTCGTTTCCTCCTCCTTCTTCTCCGCCTCGATCGAATCCTTCTCCTATCCTCCGCATATCCTCCCCCCCATCGCCCTCATCCTGTTCATCCTCCTCACCATCATGCTTCTGTCGATACCGATCCCCTGTCCTTAGAAATAACTCCCCCCTGTCGAACACCGAGACGCGTCGGTAGGGCGGGCCGGGCGTTTCACTTGAGACTTCTTCACCCCTTATGATCTCTGTCGGAAGCAATTGCGAGAGCTTCACTGGAGGAGGGCAAGCCGTTCTGGTTCCCGCCTGCGCGCCACGCACACTTGTTCTTAGTATGTGCAAGAGTTTTGCGGGTGAAAGGCGGCCCGCTTTCATATTGCGACTCTCGCCTTAACGCCGCGCACGTTCGTCTTAGAATTCACACGAGCTTTATGGATGAAGGGCGGTTTGGTTTAAAATGTGGCTCTCGCCCACGCGCCGCGCACACTCTTCACGGATGTGGCTCACGCTTTAGCGCCGCGCACATTATTATTCAAAACGTTGCCTGGGCTTCATGGATGGAGGGCGATTCATTTTCAACATATGGTTCTCGCCTTGGCGCCGCACGCACTGGTTCTAAGAGTGTGCAAGTGTTTCGAAGAGTCTTAGGAATACCGTCCTGATGTGTCTTGCACAGTGTCGGACTGCCAGGGCGTAACCGTTACTTGGATTCGCGGTTTTGAACTGCCAGAACTGGTGCTTCGCCATGGCTCAGAACCGTCAAATCGCACCAACAGCGGTGTTGCGCGGCGTTGAAGTCCCAAGGATGGTGTTCTGGTACAGTTCAAGATGTTGATACGGTTGCCCTCCAGCATGGTACGTACCTTAATGGAAATGAACTCTTGTAGGGCCCTGTGAAGAGGGAACTTGGAGGGAGAGTTAATTGCAATATCGTTAGTGGGCCTCGGGCTTACACTGGTCCTACTGCGCCCGCCCCCAAATCGCCCCCCCCCCCCCTTCGTCATCATCATCTTCTTCCTCAGCATACCCTCATCGTCCTCTTCATCCGCAGCATCATCATCCATACCATCATCACCGATATCTTCATCAGTACGATCGTCATCCTCATCATCATCATCATCATCATCATCATCATCATCAGCATCAGCATCAGCATCAGCATCATCAGCACCATCACCAGAAACCTCATCTTCGCAAACAATTAGCCGCACCATCACCATCATACTAATCAGCATCGTCATCATTCCCATCGCCATCGCCATTACTGCCACCACAACCACAATCATCATCACAATCAGCATCACCGTCACCATCATCATCATGAACAGCATCGTCAACACAATCATCATCATCACCATCATCAGCATCATCAACATCAGCATCATCATAAGCATCCCCCCGCACCGCCTCCCTCCTCCTCACCGTCATTCCTCTCCCAACGTATCTCCTTCGCAGCTCCAGCTGCTCTATCCCATATTACGTCCTCCTCCTCCTCCTCCTCCTCCTCCTCCTCCTCCTCCTCCCCCTTGTCGTCGTCCTCCTCCTCCTCCTCCTCCTGCTCCTGCTCCTCCTCCTCCTCCTGCTCCTCCTCCTCCTCCTCCTCCTCCTCCTCCTCCTCCTCCTCCCCGCTCCTCATCGTTATTCCTCTCTCATCCTCCTCCTCCTCGTCCTCCTCCTCCTTCTCCTCATCATCAACCTTATCCTCTCCTCCTCCTCCTCTTCCTGCTCCACCTCGTTCCTGCTCGTTCTCCTCGTCATCCTCGTCGTCCTTGGCCTCCTCCTCCTTCTCGTCATTCATCCGCGTCATCATCGTCATCAGCATCAGCATCAGCATCAGCATCAGCATCAGCATCAGCATCAGCATCATCATCATCATCATCATCATCATCATCATCATCATCATCAGCAGCATCACCATCAGTAACATCGTCATCATCATCATCATCATCATAATCATCATCATCAGCAGCATCATCATCGTCATCATCAGCATCAGCATCATCATCGTCATAATCATCGTCATTGTCGTCATCATCATCAGTACCAGCATCATCATCATCATCATCATCATCAGCATCATCATCATCATCATCATCATCATCATCATCATCCTCATCCTCATCATCATCCTCATCCTCATCCTCATCCTCATCATCATCATCATCATCATCATCATCATCATCATCATCATCATCATCATCATCATCATCATCATCATCATGGTGGCTGCCCGTATGCTTTGCGATCGCGGGCTCCGCGCCCATGACTGTGGCGCGAAACGGGCGGGCGCTTCCCCCGGCCGTCCGCCGTGTCTGGAGCCCCCGCCACTTCTGTTGGGGCTGGGTGGGAAGGGTCCTGGTGCGAGAAGCTGCGATTCCTCTTCCTCCTCCTTTTTCTCCTCTTCCTTTTCTTCCTCCTCTTCCCTCCTCCTCCTCCTCCTCCTCCTCCTCCTCCTCCTCCTCCTCCTCCTCCCTCCCTCCTCCTCCTCTCTCCTCCCTCCTCCTCCTCCTCCTCCTCCTCCTCCTCCTTCTCCTCCTCCTCCTCCTCCTCCGCCTCTTCCGTCCTCCTCCCCATCCTCCACCAACCGACGGCGACATGACGATGTCGGATCTACATCCGCTCAAAGTCCACCCAAAAAACCCTTCCCGGGATCTGTCCTGGCCAATCTTCTCGAGAGCTGCCGCGGCAGCGGGCCCCCCGGAGACGCCCCCAGAGCTGCGGAGCGAAGACGCCGTCGCCGACGCCGGCGTCTGACAGCGGGCAGCGGAAGCGGCGGGCAGCGGTCGTCGCCGAGCCGACGTCGCCGACGGCGACGGCGACGACCAGCAGCCGCGTCGGCGGCGGCGGCGGCGGCCACCGCCACGGCCGCCGTGGCCGCCGCCGCCGGCGTCTGCGGCGGCCAGCGTCGAAGGCGGCCGAAGCCCCGCGGCTGGCGGGCGGGGCGGGCGGCGACCGCCGCGCGCTCCTCCAGGGCGGCGGCGGCCTGCCTCTCGCCGGCCTCGTCGAGCGCCGCGGCGGCGCCCTGGGCGTCCGAGGGCCACGGCGGAGGCGGCGCCGTCGTCGGCGGCCGGCCGCCGTCGTCGACGGCGACGCCGTCGCCGCCGCCGTCGACGCTGACGTCGACCGCGGGTCCTACGCTCCCCCGATAGGAAGCTCCAGCGAGGGGCCCACACGCTAAGGGGTCCGCGCGGCCCCGCCGCCCGACTCTCCGGCACACGCCCCATCCACGCGCGCGTCGTGGGCCCTGCGCGGCTCGGACCACGGACGGGCCGGGCGGGAGGCGCGCAGGCGCGGCACGGAAAGGAGCAGAGGAGGGGGCCCCAGGACACACAACTACATACACAATACAAAAAAAATAAAAAATAATAAAAAAAATAGATTCCCCATAGTTTCCCATCTTTTCTGGGCTTCTGTCTTCCCCCCCCACTTCCCATAGTTTCCCCATAGTTTCTGAGGGATCGAGGATTCATTGTGTCTGTGTGTTTTTTCCTCTCCTGAGCAGAGGGGGGAAAGAGCTGGGAAGGGACGGGGTACGCAACGGCGACGCACGGGGCTCTGGCCAAACCAAGGAGGCCCCCCGCATGGCCACGTCAGCAGAGCCCCACTCCTCCGCGCCCGTCGCGATGCGTGCAGCTGCATGTGATTGGGCCCCTTGCCAGGGTGATTGTTTCGGCGACACTGACCCCATGAACCTAGGCCAAATTATTGATGGACGAATGAAGAATCGGCAGTCTGCCCTGCCGCAAGGCCATCATCGCCTTTTCTTGCCGGGTAAAACAAGAAACCTGGCGCGAAAGAGGAGGGCAGCGGACAGGCGAACAGGAAGAGCGAGGGCGAAGAAGAGGTAGAGAAGGCACCGTGACTGCGAAAATCGGCGGCGCGCGCATCGGTTGCGTTGAACCCGGGCCATAGCCAACCGCAGCAAAAGCAACGGCAACTGGAGGAGCAGCTGAAAGAGGAGAAACCCAACGGGAAGGAAAGGGGAGAGGGAAACATACACAAAATACTGGACTGCATCCGCCCTAGATGTACGGGCAAGACCCACCCAGCCATAACAACAGGTTGCTTCGCAATGTCCAATCTGTTTCGTCGTCATCTGTCGGGGGCCTGCGGCGCCTCGCACGAAACACAAATTGCGTACGTAAATCATGCAACTGTCTTTCCGCAAACCACGGATAAGGTCCTGCACTAGCGCAGCATCAGGAGCCCAAAACCCTGACGTATACTTGAATGCGACCTTCGAACACACATGTCAGAAGGTCCCTCATGTAGGGCGTCCTGGGCGCGTTGCCTTACAATGTGTTTGCGATTGTCCCGAGAAACACTCAAGCAAGTACATACCGGAGAAAGCAGTCATTGTGCTGTGGTGCGCTGTTGACTGGAATGGAATGGTTGCCAAGGGTTGGCGTGTGCTCTGAGAACCCAAGAAGCGGTTATAGCTTTCTTGGGGAACCGAAAGACACGGCGCAACACAGCATGTATCAACATAGCTCCTCCGGCGAAACATAGCAATGCAACAAATGTCCCTCGGAAGTGATTGCCTGCACCGGGGCCGCACACCTCAGATGTAAAGATTTGGCTGGAATGTCTCGAGCGGTGCCCACACGCGCGCGCCTGGCGGGCGCCCCGTGCCCTAGCTAGCGTTACCAGGCTTCTGGCCGGCGCCCGCCCGTGAGCGCTTCGTGGGCCCCCCGAGCGCTGGCTGGCGCTTCAAGGCTCCACCAAGTGCACGCTCGCGGGCGCCTCGTGGGCGCCTCGTGCGATGGCTGGCGCTGCCGAGCGCACACGTGCATTCTCTTGTCCGAAAGACTGTTGGGAGCCATCCCCCCCGGGGGTTCACGGGCCACCCTTTTCGCACTGCAAGCTACTTCGATGCTGCCCCATCGCCCACCCTAGATATCAAACCACACCATTCCAGCCAGGCCGGAGTTCGATCCTTCGCCCCCTCATCCTCTGGAAAAAAAACTATGCGCGCGCACTCGTTTATCAAAAGTCAACCGTTTTCAAGAAACCCTGGCACAAAAAAGTGTACACGCGCGCGTCGTCGCGCGCGCAAACTGAAATCCTAAAAAACAAACCTGCGCCCGCGCTCTTGCGAATTCGCTTGGCCAAAAGACAAAAAAGGATAAAATATTTATGTGTATATATGTATATAAATTCCACAACTTCATAAAATGCCATCAATCGCGCCTCCCGCGCGCATGTCGATTCGAACGCCCTTGCGCGCGTGCTGTCGCAAAAACCCCTTACAACAAATGGGACGAGGTGCGCACGCGAGCGTCGTCGCGCGCGCATGCAGACGTGTTTCAAAAACCCGAGATGTCGTTCGGAATTCAAAAACGAATGAGATGTCGTTAGGAATTCGAAAACGAATGTCCCGAAAACATATATACAATGACGTGGTCTTGCCACAGAAGACTCCAAAACATCCTGCGCTCGCGGTCTTGCGGAACCCAAAGAAATCCACATGTTTCCCAACATGTTGATCACATTCTGCAAAACGGGCCTGTGGCGCCGAATGCCGAACTCACTCGAACGCCTTTGCGCGCGTGCTCGTGGGGGGGGCACGATCCGTGTCAAAAAACACCACGCGGGCCACTCGCGCGCGTCAGCCACGCGCGCGAGTCGAACTCCGACAAAAACCTTCATCACCGACGCAACGACATCATCATCGTTATCGGCAGGCGTGGTCAACATCGGCGCCGTCATTGGCCTTACCGTCGTCATGGCCACCATCGTAACCATCATCGTTACTTTCATAACCGTGCCTGCCGTTGTCGGCGTCGCCGTGATACCGCGCCCGCCCTAGTCACAGACTCGCAACGGAGCTCACGCTGGGAAAAGCCCAGCGGTCAGCGCCACCTCGGTCGCGTCGGTCGCGCCAAACCAGCTGGGCGGTGCGCGCGCAACTATGCGCAGGCTTGCGCGGCCGCGGAAATGCACCAGCCAACGCCAGCCACACATTCGCCGCCGCATGGGTTTTGCAAACCAAGTTGCGGGTGGGTGGGCGGGATGCTTGCAAAGGCATGCGATGTGTCAACTCATTTGAGAAAAAATGCACCACGGAGGTTTCACATCATAGATGGCAACACATAGCTTGCACCACAGATTTCACCACGTAGACTGCGCCACATAACGAGCAAACATGTTGTTGAACGGCACGTGTTGCATCACATTACACCACACAAAAGGCACAAGATAGCACGCAACACGTAGCTTGCATCGCATAGATTGTACCGTAAATGTGAGACGGAGCCACGACGAGGATATAATCGACAGAAGATAAATTGACAATCTCTGAGATTGGCCGGATCTGAAGAGTGCGTTGGGCGCCGCAACCTTCTCAGAGCGTTCCGGAACGCTCTGAGAGCGTCCCGGAACGCTCTGGAACAGATTAATCCTCGTCGTAGCTCCGTCCAGGTATGTCCTCTTCTCGGCAGAATGAGCGCTTCCACCCCACGCGTGAACTAGCCTGCCCCTCCTCTGCCCCCCCGCGCCTTGGAAATCCCCATAGTTCCCAAACGCCATGTCCGCGATGGTCCTGCAAGCCTCTTAAGGGGCTCGGGGGAGCTCGTCCCGATCCAGAACCCGCGCCCCGTGGTCTCCCGGATGGTCTCCGTATGGCTTCGTGCGTGACCTCTCGCACGACCTCCCGCGCCGCCTCCCGCATGGTCTCCCGCGCGGTCTCCCGCGTGCTCCCCCGCACGGCTCTCCCGCGCGGCTCTCCCGCACGGTCACGCCTCTGGCTTCAGCGATGGCCTCCCGCACTGGTCTCCCGCATGGCCCCCCGCATGATCTCTCGCATGGTCTGCCGCGCGGCCTCCCGCGTGGCATCCTGCGCCGTCCCCCGCGGGGTCGCACGCGTGGCCCCCCGCATGGTCACCCGGGCTGTCTCCAGAAGGGTCTCCCGAATGTTTTCCCGCAAGGTCTGCTGCATACTCCCCCGCGTGGCCTCCCACGTGGAATCCCGCGCGGCCCCCCGCGCGGCCCCCCCGCACGGTCTCCAGCGCGACGTCCCCAAAAGACCGCCCGCATGGCCCCCAGACCCTTCGAACGAACCGTGAACTCGAAGAGAACTTACATCACCGAGAAGCCCCGCGTACCTATTTTACAGCCGGCAGTATTATCAAGAAGACTATCAGTTAAGACGTGTGGGCCAGCTTCCTGGACGTTTCTAAAACAGGCCTGGGCCAACTGTTGGTGCTGACCGCTGGAGAAGCGGCCGTGCTCAAGAAGCTGGGCCAGATTTTTGCGGCGAGTGGGTCAAGAAACGCTGGCTCGGTTTTTCGGGCGGAGGTTCCTCAATCATGGGCTCGACCGTAGGTCCTGAATGGGAGTTTCAGAGTGACCGGGGGCCCCCCCCCCGACACGTGCCGCGCTTCCGCGTCCCCCCATGCCTCCTCAATCCCCGCCGCGCGCCCGCAGGCCGGAGCCCTTTCTGCGAAGAAGCTGCTACGGCCACCGAAATGGACGATGGGAGCGAAGAGGAGGAGGAAGAGGAGGAGGAGGAGGATGAGGAGGAAGAGGCAGAGGAAAAGGAGGAGCGAACGAGGCAAATGGCTGGGCATCGTCACCGCATGGAAACGCGCCCGACGGCCCGACGCCGCCGCACAGGCTCGGTGAGAGCATCAGGAGGAAGAGGAGGAGGAGGAGGAGGAGGAGGAAAGGAGGGGGAGGAGGAGGAGGAGGAGAAGGACCACTGGAAACAAAAAATCCGTCAACGAAGTTGGAAGAGACCCTCCCCCCAACCTCGCTCCTCATAGGCCCCTACGAGGGCTCATTCCTAGTGGCAGAACTGCCTCGTTGGGAAATAACCGTACGAACGCCAAAACACCACTCTCGTGACTCCAACGCCACGGATCAACCTGAGTGTTGCGTCTTGGCGATCTTGAACCCTGCCAGGACATCATTCTTGGGATTGTAACGCCGCGAATCAACGTAATTGTTACGCCCTCACAATTCTGAGCCCGTCCAAAGTACCACGTTTGGCACGTGGATCATGGGAATCAACTGAACGCTTGCAGATGTTTGGAAGGACTGCGTGCAGCGCGAAGACGAGAGCCACATATTGAAAACGAACCGCCGTCACTCCGTGAAACACCCGCAATGTTTT